CAAGCTTGATCCATTAGGAATCGTATGACCCCGATGAGCCACAGGGCTGGGGATCTTCCTTGAAACTGCAGCAATCCTTCCGTTAGTCCTCTTCTGAGTTGTCCAACCTAGAAAAACTGAGTATGCCAGTCATAGGTAACTTTGGGGGAGCAAGGCCCTTTGGGGGGTTTTGTATGTGAGGGAGCACTCTCAAAATGCTGCCGGGGAGATATGTGAATGGCTACCATAGTGGGTATAGCCAATCATGAAGCGCCCTGTTCCCTGAAGCCACCTCAGATGCTCTCTGCCCTCCCAGTGAGGTGTCTGTGGTTGCCTCCATAACATGGCTTCTGGAAAGCAATGTCTATTAGATAAAGGCTGTTATGGGGGATATAAATAATGGTTACACACCAATGTTAGGTCTCCTCTTCTAGCATCCCCTCCCTTACAGGAATTTTGTCTCTTCATCCTGCTTTTGTTTTTCTGGGTTCCATCTCTGGAACCTTTTGGAAGACCTAGAAATATCCCAGCTTGGAATCTTGGAGGTTGATCTCCACAGACTAGGCTCCATGACCATGTTGGGCCAATGGTCATATCTGAAATGTTTAGGATATGTCACAGGTCCTCTAGAATAGTGTTTCTCAACCTTAGCAACTTGAAGATGTGTGGACTTCAACTCCCAGAATTCCCCAATCACACATCTTCAAGTGGCCATGGTTGAGAAACACTGTCCTAGAGAATAGCTATCATGGACTTGCTGATCAACACACAGCAGCTGTGGTGGTGGCGGCGATACCCAGACACAGACAATTCATTTGCTAATTCCCTGCCCCCCTAGACCTCAAACTTACCTTAACTTTTTTGCGGGGCAGGAAGGTGCTCTCCCAAACAGAGATCTTCAAGGTGGTCACCCGTAAGTTTCATTTTTTCAAGGAAGTTTTGAGGCCCACTGAGGCTCAGAGGAATCGTTGGAAATAAATATGAAGCAGAAGACTGTTTCTTTTCTTTGTAGCCTGTCAACTTGTCTCTTAAAAGAGCTTCCAAGGGAGGCCCAGTGGCTCCCCAGGTGCCATAGCAAAGACCCAGGTAAAGCCAAAGTGCTGGTGGACTCACTTGAGTCACCAACCTGGCTTGCGTACCCTAACTTAGGCAGCTACATATAATCAAGGATAACCCCAAAGGATCTAATGCTTCTCTGGAAAATTCCTACCAGTGGCAGGGCCACTGCTATGCCTCCACCTGGCTGTCATCCTACAGGTCTCATTTGGAGAGGAATCTTGGAGCAACCCATGGTGAGATGGTAGGTCCCCATTATCTGCTGTCCATGCAGGAGCAGAGTCATGTTTGTATGTAAAAGATCACTACTTCCGTTCTGGAGACACCAGCTAGAGCTGGGGTGGGATTTTTCTTCTTCTTTTGCATTGAGGGTCCCATTCCTTCCCCCAGGGCCTCACAGCCCCCCACCCCACCAAAGAAAGCAAAATACGTCAACTGCCTTTCTGCCTCCTCTTTTTACTCCCTGGCTGCAGGCAAGGGAGAGAGACAATTACTGGTTTGAACTGGGCTTTTGCATTGTAATTTTGAAATTAGGCTGAACTTGAAGGCCGCTGGTTGCTCTTCTGAGGATCTCAGCAGGATTTGGATGGACAAGTTTGTCTGAACCTGCAGATCTGCAACAGCGACTAGCCCTAGAGGCTCAATGGCTTGACAGAATATAGCTTTTGTGCCCTGAATTGTCGGTCACAGCCCTTCTGCCTAAAACAAACCAACACAACAGACATTTAATTGCTTGGGCAATGCACTCTGTATGTAATTAGCATTCATTAGAATTTTTAAAAATGTCAAGAGAAAGCTGAAATGCAGGATTTCCTTCGCAGGATTGCAAAGAGATCGTTTATTTTTGAAGAAACCGAAAGGTAAGAGTTTCAGCACTCTAGGAGTTCAGAGAAACCTCAGATGCAGGCAAGTTTGGAAAGGTCTGAACAGGTTTTCCTGCATTTAAAGTATGCTCTGTTGACCATGCACTGAATGGGTGTTGCTATTTGGTAACTGTGAGTTTGGGGAGATAAACTGGAAAGAATGGCAGGCAATGTGAAGTGAGTTTTGCTGAATTTAAGATTTTTGGAAGCGCTATCTTTTTGAAGGAGCAAGCTACAGTGTGTAGGACTACTGTGGTGTGCAAAATGGGAGGTGGGGTTGGGTCAGGTTGGTTCAGCTGGGATCCAAGGTTCTTGCCCCCCTGCACACTTATTTTATAGATGTTTCCTCTTTTTTTAAACAGTGTTGCACCTCTTTTGGGGACCTCCATGACAGTTTTAGTCTATTTCCTGCAAACGGAGGACTCGACGTTGTTGATTTGGACAAAAGAGGCAGGAAGGTGGTAGATCGTCTATCCCTGATGTAAAAGACTGGGCCAGCTTTTCCCATCTGGCGATGTAATGGGCAGAAGGAATAACCTTGAGGAACAGGAGGAGGAAGAGCCACAGCCAAGCCAAGTCAGATAAAAGAAATCAGAGTCTGGGGCAGAAGTGTAATTTGAGAAAGCGTCTCAGATAAGACCTTCCCTAGTTCTCACCAAGATGGAGGGAGGAAGCACATTCAGACTTGCAAGATTGTTACCATAACCCAGTGTTTCTCAACCTTGGCAACTTTAAGGTGTGTGGACTTCAACTCTCAGAATTCTGGGAGTTGAAGTCTACACATCTTAAAGTTGATAAGGCTGAGAAACACTGCTAGAACCTTATAATAAAAGCAGTATTTGCTTCTGTGTCTTTGATTTTCGTGTTTGGTCTGCCTTGGAGGGCTGGCAGGGGTCTGCCAAGCATGAGGGCTTCTCTTCTGTCAGGAACTATGAAAGTTGAAGAAAGGATGAGAAAGGGAAATGCTGAATGCCAGTTCATACTTCCCCAATGAAAGGGAAATTCATGAGAATAGCTTCAGGACTGGCAGAATTCCTGCTTCTCTGGCTGTGTTCTGGGAAACATGCTCCAGGAATCAGATTTCATAATTGCTTTTGTCTCTCCCTAAAATACTCTCCCCCCCTTGTTTTGCAGGAAGCTCACCTGTCTCTCCCCTCCTGTGAATCTCTAGGATCTAGATTAGCTTGAAGATCCTAGACACCGCTCTGACTTACGCCTACAATTTCAGAAACGGGGTGGAGAACCCAGATCCCAAGGTCTCCCCAGCAGCCTGGGATTTTGCAACTAAATGAGCCATCTGGAGGAAACATCAGGGAGTTTGAGATGGGTGTCCCTTTCACTCTGATAAATATCTCATCTAATTGGCACACAATCTGGAAATGCTGGGTGTTTTTATTCCTTCCCTAATTGCAGGATCAGAGCTGTGTCCACTTGCCAGGAGGGAAGTTCTATTATCCAGCAATGAAACTGTCAACATCTTTGTTTCTGGATCCTTAGCTCCAGGTACTAAGCATCCTTAAGGGAAAACAGACCTAAAATTACAGTCTGGCTTTAGTGCCCAATTCAATCCTGAAAATTGTACCTGTAGTAAATATGTCAAATTGGTGCTCTGCTAAGATCTTCTCCCTCCCCTGCAATGGAAGGAGAGCAACTGAGACAACTGCAGTTGCCTCAAGCGAGACTATTTTTTAGCTCGAGAGTTGGGACCCAAATAACATCTCTCTTCAGGACATTGGATTTACCACCTATCCTCTGATAGAAGAACAAACTCTTCCAGATACTCTTCACTTAGAGTGCCTGTCAACGTCAGCTTGAAGCCTTGTAGGTCAGATGGGCCAGATGAGGTCCATTCAATGGAAATTTTCCCACCCTGTCAACTTCATGGATTTAAGCTGAGTGTTCTTACTCCTCCCAACTGAAGGAGAAGTACTGACCTGGAGGACTTTTCTGCAGCTTACCAACTCTGGCATTTCTTGCCCTGGAACTCAAAATCAGGTTGGAGCCCCCCTGCCCACCCAAATGCAATTACAAGTTTTTTTGAGAGCTTGGCTTTCAGCAGTTGGGGCAATTTCTCTCCCGTGTTTCCTCCTCCAATGCTTTAAAATATTCAGATAGTTAAAATGGCTCTCCCACCTCAGGAGGAGGAGGAGCAGGGCAGGTTTGAAACTGTGAAATAATTGAAATCAATTACTCCCATAGCCCAGGGCAAACTTGCGCTGTGCGTCGATCCCTTTTCCATCAGAAAACCTCGAGGTGAGCCAAAATCATTCTGCCTTTTAAGCAGCTGAATTGTATAATGGGGAGGGGGGGGGCACACAGGACCACTTACAATGCCATCAGGGATGTCAAAGGTGCATCAGCCATTCACTAATGGGGCCATATACATGCCACTCCTTAAGGAAACCCTCATGAACACAATGCTAAGGATCTACTTCTCCCTTAGCACCACTTGATCTGATGCTCTAGCAAATTTTGCATACCACCTTCCCCCTCTGTCCTGAACAACAATGCTCCTGGCAGCAGAGGATCCCCCCAGAATGGCATGAGAAACTGGAGGAGGATCACTTATCCACTGGATCCCTCTCAGGAGCCTTCATTGACATCCTTCCAGAAGCAGAAGGAATTCTTTGACAAGAAAGATAGAGACTATAGGATTACACCAGCACTGGTCTCAAAAATCCATGGGTGCTGATTTTTGCTTGACTCCCTGGCACCTGTGTTTGCATGTTCTGCAAGAGTCCAGTTTATAAACCCTCAGCACCAACGTGAAACTCCTCAGATAGGGTCACTAGGAGACTCCAAGATGCGTTGCTCCATGGCCTCTGAGTCAGATGAGGTGGTGCAGCTACGAAGCTGGTGTCTAGATTTCGGAATGGGCTGAACCAGGGCCAGACTGAGGACAAATCCTGACAACATGGAGATCCCATGGGTAAGCAGTTTTTATGTCCGGGAATTAAATGTAAAGTCTGCCCCCGATGCTGTTGACTTATCTTTGAAATAACAGGTGTGTAGCTTAGGGGAAGGGATGGAAGAAAATTGTGCAAGATTTCTGTAGCGGAAACAGGGCGAGCCAGAATTAAATCTAGTACAAAGAGAAAGGGAGAGAAACCAGGAGACAGATTTGTCCATCGTTTTTTTAAACCTCTAACAACAAATTGCCGAGTTTGTTTGAGACTCTTTTCAAACTAGTTGCCTACAGAAAGAGACCATTATTGTGTTTTGGAACATACACATTTATTGTAACATTTAATCCCTGGGAAAGATGGCTCATTAAATAAGCTGAGTCTGTTTAAACTGATGGTCTGCCCTGGTTCAGACACTCAAGGACATTTTCTTCCCATGTGCAAGTAAAGAATCAAGTCCTATAACAAGCACAATTTGCTACACTGGAGAAACTATTCCAGAGTCTCAAAGGAGAATATCAGCTAGATTGCTGAGCTAAATCCTTCTGTGTGTTGATCTATGGAAAGAAAGATCTCTCAGTCTCTGACATGCTTCTGCCACAACCCAAGTAAGATCTTGGATCCCCATCCACCCTTTTCTTTGCAGATTAATGGAATAATTTGGGGTGAAAAGAGAATGAAATTTGTACATCTGTCCCTTGCCACGTTCTTGGCTGTCAATTTAAATCTGGGAAGCCATCAGGACAGTGAGCAAACTAAGGATGACACAGAGAAAAGGAAGGTAGACAAAGAGGAGAAACAACCTGGCATCTTGGCATAATTAAGACACTGCAAAGGCGTTTCTCAAAGTCCTAGATCTCATATTCCGAGCCGGAGAGGTCCACCATGAGATCACGTAGCACTCAGCTGTGACCAACTTTTCTCACTGATTTCCATGAGACAGAAGGGGTGGTTATTCTAGACCAAGCTCATTATGGGTAATTCCTTATGCCATCAGGAGGAAGGGAGACCCCTTGTCATAACAAATGTGTGGTGGTGAGCATCCTTACTCAGAATTCTGAGATTGCTGAGAAGTAGAAGGGATGGCAGATGACACTTGCTCAGTCATCAGGCAACTAGTAGCAATGGAGAGCTGACTGGGAGGGGATCCTACCCAAGGGTTTCCCAAGGTTTTTGCTGATACTGAACTCAAGAGCTTATGCTGAAGTTGATGTTCTCCTTCCAATCTGTAGGACAGTGACTGGTTCTCTCTCATCTTGGCCTCAACTTTGAACTTTGCAAATATTGGTCTTCTCCTGTCCTCATTTCATGTCTGATTATATATTGACCAGACACTGATGCGGTGGTCCTTGGAGCCAGCTGCCATTAGTCTCTCGCTGGGCTGGTTGTGATCTGAGAAGGCTACGCAATGGACTGTTGATGTGTGGTAGTCTAGGACAGCTAACGGCTTAAGCTTCTTCCAGCCAAAGAGGCGGATGCGGTGATCCCAGCCAGCCGTGGCCAAGATCTTCTTGTCTTGACGAAGAGTCACCTCGGCGATCCCAGGATTGGTGAGCTGGTACGTTTGTTGAAGCTATGGAAAGCATCAGATGTGGGAAGAGAAACATGGCCAAGATTTATTCATGTGGTCAGAGAAAAGACACAAGGAACACTCCTGATAAAGTTGACCTCATTTGGCCCTAAAGAATGGAAGCATGCTGAAGCCACATCTCTCCCATCCTTCACTTCTTGCCCCCATTTCTCTCTTCCATACCAATATTTTGACACTATAACATGAATTATAAGCTACAGACATCCTTAGAGATGCTTCTTGCAATTGTCTTGTGCTTTTCCTGATACAGACACTGCCTGCTGCTTTGAAGTTCAGCCAAACCTGTTTCACTTCCCATACGGTGTGAGCATTTCACATCTGTGATGGCACTTCTTTTGAAACCATGTTTTGGCTGCTAACTAGGACCACAGGAGTCAGGCTGGTAAGGTTACCAAAGAGAGCAGGGCTGGAGTTTTCATCTCCCTTACCTTTTGGGAAGCTTAAGGTTCTTCTATAAAAGGATAAAATATCTGTGTTAAGCCTATGGCAGGCTTCCTGTCCCTATTGCTGGAGGAAATTATGGCCAATTACAGCAGCACAATCTTGGGGAGGCAAGCGGGGGATCCTGATCACCCAAGAGAGGTGATGTTCTCTTGCGCCAGCCTTCCCCCACTGGATCTTTCCAAATAAGTGGGCATCAATTCCCAAAATTCCTAGCAATGGCCTGGCTGGAGGAAGGAGAGGCTCATATGTCTAGAGGACATCCCAGTACGGGAGACTATCTTGGACCATGAAAGTAGAGAAGTATCTGCAACATCCTTTCCTTCTACTTGTGTGCACATAGAATTTCAGACAACCAAGGTGGTCCAGTGCTGAAGGTGCTGGACTAGGAGTGGGGAGACCCTGGTTCCAGTTCATCCTCAACCATGGATCCTCCCTGGGAGACTTTAGTTCCACTGGGTGATTCTGTCTTACGCCAGCCTACGTCAAAGAGCTGTTGGTCTGAGGAGAAATGGGAGGAAGATGCTATTGAGCCTTGAGCTTCTGAGGAAAGGGCAGAATATAAATATAGCAAATAAACATGCCAACAGACCTCAGGAGTGACATCCCGTCTGCATTCTAAAACTAAAAGATATAATTAATCTTGGAATATGTAGACAATAAATCTTAACACATGGTTTTAAAAAAATATGGATTTTTTTTTCATTATAGACTATACTTGCCTACCCAAATACCACAAGGCTCTGGAGGAAAAACTAAAACATTTTTTGAAAAGCCTTAATAAACATCGGAGTATGACCTCAGTTGTAAGGTAAAATCCTTGGGAATTTTATCTCAGTCCTTCATTCCATTATTTGTATGAAAGTAGATATTCTATGCAATAAAAGTCCATTTATTCTGGCACCATTGACATACAGAAGGGAGATATCAAAAATTATGGGAGGGGTGGAGAGTCAGGGGAAAAGGAGATCCCATGATTTGTATAATTGATTTTTTTTTTTTGAAGGAGGAAAACGAATCTTAGAAGCGAGAAAAAAAACTCAAAGCCATCCAAAGAACTAAGTGACTGGGTTTGCACAACATGCTTTGCCCAGTTGAAGTTCAAACACCAGCATTCTCTCAATACGTGCAGGTTGGTTAATTTGAAGTTTGGAGTTTGTTCTGGTTGGCTGGCAGATTGTTGAAACTCAACTACTTTGCTTCGTTAATGATATAATATTGTGCAAATCCTGGAAGTGAGTTAATTCAAAAACTAAATTCACCATGCTGGATGAATCCAGCCAGTATAATTTTGTGGGGCTGGGTGGGGAAGGGAAATGGGGTTGGCCGAACCGCTGACCATAAAATCTCATAATGACACTTGTTGATTTATCAATATGGTTAGACTTCAGTTCTCTGGACCTCCATCTGGACCATGGATGAAATTTACATCCACTTGCATGGACTTCAACTCCCAGAATTCTCAGCCATGCCTGTGGGGGCTGGGGAATTCTGGGAGTTGGAGGTTCATGCACCTGATGGACCTCTAAGTGGGGGCAAGTTATGGATACAGGGAAGTTCAAGTCCAACACATCTGGATTCTTGTTCAAGTTCAAAACATCTCCAGGCCCCCACACTGGGGATGGCAGCTGTCATCCTGGTGTAACAGGTTCCTTCACCCCTACTGCAAGCAGCCCTCCCCTCTTGATGAAGGACAGGGGGGTTATTTCTCCAGCTTTTCATTTGCACAGTGGAACTGTGCCACCCCAAACACTGTTCTGTCACTCCACCCTCAGATTGCTCATTACTGAGCGAGAGCTGCCGAAAATCTTTGCAATAAAAATAGAGTGACACTGGAGTGGCTTTCCAAATGCCATGATTATCTCAGGAGCCTGGAATGTCAAGGAAAAGCCCCATCTGGTTTATATTATTAACCCGAACGGATAGAACTGAACAATTTAATGGGGGTCTGTAATAGTCTGGACAGCAAGCAGGAGTAAGAATATTTCAACTTGTTAAAAAACTTAGTCCATCCTAATTGGCTATTAGGGGATAGTTTTAATCCTTGCGGCATTTAAAAATTTATTTTTTCATATTTCAACAAAGCTCAACATTGCTGTAAGTAGAATAATGCCTTCTGCTCTTTCTCAGTAGCCTGTTTTGGCTGCAATTCTATTGGCACTCGTCCCCAAATTTGTTGTTAGTAAGAGTGATGACATACAGTCCCTGTCAGAATGAGGAGAATCTGGGTTTTCTGTTGCATGGAATACAGAATGCAAACACCATTCCTCGTTGAGAGTTTTTTTTAAGAGTTGGGAACCAATGCAGAGCCCAGTATTATCTTATTCATTTCTCATTCTCTATCTTATTCATTCTCTTTTCATTTACAGCCATACTAGCTATGACAATTTAAATATATA